CTTACTCAGAATTAGTACCTGCTCAGAGGGAAATAGCCTGTTACAACGTTTTTTGTCAATATATTTTTTAGAGCAGAATAACAATCATTATTTCCAAAACACACTTTGGCTAATTCTGGGAGAGAGAATCACCAATTTCTTCAAGGACCAAAATGATCAGAGTGAGAATGACAACAGTATTATTAAATGATGCCGCCAACTCCTTTTAGTGATTGTGACTTCAAACACATTTCTTGAAGACATGGCCATACTTTTTCTACAGTATTTCTTTTTCTCACAGTGTGATACCTATGATGTGTGAAGGGACCACAGGAAGTGATTAGTTTCTGTTAATGGCCAGAATGATGCATTGGTATAAATCAGCACAAAAAATGAGAAAAACTCTTTTCAAGTCCCTTAAGGTTAAGGTTTTGCCAATGGAAGAGAAGGCTAAAAAAAAAAGAAGCAAAATAACAAAATGTATTCTAATGAGGGATGTTAAAGGTAAGAAGGAAGAAGTCGGGAAAATAAACCAAAATGGTTGAATATATTATAATTAAGAATGTTGTATGGACAATTAAAATAGAAAGTTAATTCTTTTTTTTTTTTTTTTAGAGTCTCACTCCATTGCTCAGGTTGGAGTGCAGTGGCAAGCTCACGGACACCCCAGTGTCGACCTGCTGGGCTCAGGAGATCCTTCCACCTCAGTCTTCCAAGTAGCTAGAACTACAGGCACGCATTACCACACTTGGCTAATTTATTTATTGTAGAGACAAGGTCTCGTCAAGTTGCCTGGGCTGGTCTCAAACCCACAGACTCAGGCAATCCCCTTACCTTGGCCTCCTAAAGTGCTGGTACCACAGGCTGAGCCACCGAGCCCATTTGAAAATAAATTCTGTACATGTATAAAAAGCAAGTCAGGACTTAGCAAAGACAAAATTAGTTTGGGAAAGATATGAAATAATCTCTTATATTTACTATTGATCATATCTGTAAGGCAGAGTGACTGGAGTGCCTTGAAAAAGTTGTAAGTTGAACTACACCAGTGGTCAACGATGGAGCAACAAGACTTCCCAGAGAATGCTGCCCCGGGGGAACTCTAAGTGAAAGAAGGCTGAAGAACAACTGGTAACCATCTTCAAATGTTTAATGCATGTGCAAATACAACTCTCACATAGTCTTTGGACCTTTCTCAAAGTGGGACACTCAAAGATAATACTTTGGCTTGAGTTGAATAGAAGCATTTCAGATGTTTGTAAAGTGTTCGGTGGGTGGTACCAAAAGAGATGTAGAACTTCCATGTCTGAAGATCTGTGAGATAATAAGATTTTTTTTTAAACCTTGAATACTACTGTCATGGTTTGGGAGGTAGAAGGAATGGATTAAGGAATCTCTCAAGTTTCTTCCACTTATCCTGGCTTTGAGACTCTGGGTCCTTAGAAATGAGAAAACACTCAGGGAAGGAAAAAAACCAACACCCTAAGAAGCAGAAAAGGACTCTAGGTCAGTTTTTCTTAATCTATTTTATTTTTTCACTATTTTTTTCCTAAGGAGTCTTTTTAGGCATTCTATTCCTAATCATCTCTCCCCACCCCCGTACCATTCCATAGAATATTAATACCATATATACACTTTGTATCTGTTAATGTACTTTTGGTCCCTTGGAGGGTAACAATCCACTGTAATATCTAAGATTCACCTCCTCCCCAAATTGATAATCATCCTCAACAAGAATGCATGCTCTTTATAAATAAACTACGAGTCTGAATGGAAAGTCATTGAGGATGGGAGGAAAAAAGTTATGTGTATTTCAACGCTGCCTACAGGGACTATACAAACCCTCACTGGCCAGCATGCTTGCGTATTGCCTGCATGTGGAAATTTCCTGCTTCCCCTCCCTTCTGTTAAATGGAAAGGGATGGATCCCTTGTTACCATTATATCATCTGATCACAGTGGTTGTCATCTTTTAGGGGTCCTTCACCTCTTTGAGAATACTAAGAAATGAGTATATTGTATGCATGTTCTCACACTCCATAAAATGTATGTGTAATGAATTTCAGAATATAATAATGAATTACGGAACTTGATAATGATTGGATCAGGCAGACTGTACCTGAATCCACTGATTAGTCCTAATATCAAAAAAGAGACAACTAGACATTATGTGCTTCCTGATGTGATGCAATAGGAAGAAGACATCACTTATGTAGTATTCTTGCCAAAAAAAAGACAGAAAAAAAGTTTTACCTTGATCTAATAATGGGGAAACAATCAGGAAATAAAAAAAGGAACCTAGATTGGGAGACATTCCACAAATAAACTGGTCTGAACTCTTTAATGTCAGTGTCATCAAAGACATACCACATACATCTCATACACATATACACATGTGCACACCCACACACACACACACACACACACACACACAGAAGGAAAACTCTAATGCAGTAAAGGAAACAAAAGATACTGACAACTAAATGCTATGTATGATTCTTGATTGTATTCTGGATTTTAAAAAATCAACTATAAAGAATATTTTGGGGATAACTGGAGGACTTTGAATATGAATCATATATAAGATATACACAGTATCAGTGTTCACCTTCATGGGAGTGATAATATTGCAGATTTATAGGACAATGTTCTTATTAACAGGAGGAACATGATGAAGTATTTTACTTTTCATGCTTGCAACTTATTTTCAAATGGTTTTGCAATAGGAATGTGTATTACAATAAGAAAGAAAATGTGAGCTGGGCTGAGAGTGGTGGCTCACGCCTGTAATCCCAAGCAAAGGGTGTAGGCTAGGAGTTTGAGACTAGCCTAGGCAACACAGACCCTATCTCAAAAAGAAGAAACAAAGAAAGAAAGAAAGAGAGAGAGAGAGAAAGAGAGAGAGAGAGAGAGAGAGAGAGAGAGAGAGAGAGAGAGAGAGAGAGAGAGAAAGGGAGAGAAAGGGAGGGAATGGAAAAATGCAATCGATACATTTAAGGATGTAGGTGCTCACTGTAATCTTTCAACTTTGAAATCCTTCCCCACCTCCTGCAAAAAAAAAAACCATGGAAAGAGAAAAAAGAGAGTAGCCAAGTTAGTAGCCAAGTTAGGAGGAAGTAGCAGGGTAGTCAGTCTCTGACTCAGAGGGCTGAAGCTCCGTTTATAATAGAGATACGTCTAAGATGTGGTCAGGACAAGGAGATAAAAATCACCCATAAATTTTTTTTTTTTAGAATTTGCCAAACAAAGTTCTGTGGGAATAGAAACACTCTGTAATTAAAACATAAGAGCAGCTTTGCGGAATTTACCCTAGAAGAGTTGATTTAGTGCAATTAACAATATAACCAGGAGGAAACTGTTCCAAGAAGTTTAAAAAAACATTCAAACGTTTAAATACAGTGAAAACTTCACCTGCACAAACAGTTCACAGAAAATAACCTCAAAAAGAATTAATAACAAGGATCTTCAGATTTCAGCCTCACACTTGATTAAGCATTAATGAATTATGCAACTTTTTAACACCAACGTCCTGTGATGATGTGTGGTGCAGAGCTATGGAGTTCCTCCGAGGCCAGGAGTGCCATGCTGTCCTTTCTCTCTGTCCTTCTGTTCAGCATTCCCGTGTGGTACCTGTGAATTGCACAGGTTGGGAACTAGGGGCTCTTGTTTCTCTGTTTTCTAGATCCTTACGCCAGCTAGACAGTCTTTCAGGCAAAAGTGATGCTGGGAGATCTTTGCCTATCTTGTCCTCTTAAAGTTACTTAGGAAGCAAAAGGAAGAAGAAAAATAAGAAAGAAGAAAGAAGGGAGAAGGGAGAAGGGAGAAAGAAGGAGAAGGAAGAAGGAGAAGGAGAGGAAGAGGAAGAGGAAGAAGAAGAAAGGAAGAAGGAGAAGGAGGAGGAGGAGGAGGAGGAGGAAAGTATATTTATTGTCGACCACGGTACAACATGGAGAGGTAGCAGCAACTGGATTCCACGAGACAGCCTTTACGAGATACGAAGTGAGGGTCGCCTTCATGGTTAGGTCAACGTGGAATGCCACTGTACCCACACAGTCAGCCCTTCCTTCGTCTGGATAAAGATTTCATGACTCTAGGCTTTTGTGGTTGCTGCAGATGGTTTTAACACATTATGTATAATAAAACAAAATCAGAGTTGTTTAGTTGTTCTTTAATCATCATTACATTAAAATGCACGAATACATTCTTATCTACTTCCCTCCACCAACTGTTATCTTGCTAAATTCGAGTGATCACTGGAAGTATTATGACCCCCTAGTCACAGGCAGTCAGAACCCACACAGTTTTGTGAATGAATCAGAGAAGGTAACATTTCATCAACGAAAACTCTGAGGTTTCAAAAGGCTGGGTGCAGCACAGAATGCATTCTTCTGACTGTCTTCTGGAACAGAAAAATTGGAAAGAATGGAAGAAAGAAGTTACCTCCAGCTCCACTGTTACCTTGGCAACTGTGGCACAATCCCAGGGCAGAAATTAATTTTGTGCCAAAATATTAGGTGGCAGAGGAGGCGAGAGTGTGGGGGGAAAGCAGACATCGGCTGGGTGTAGAGCTCTGAGAGCCAGCTAGGAAGGTTATAAGGTTGACAGGCTGCGTGTTAAATCTACATGCACCAAATAACCAACTGGGCTTTAGTTTTTTTTACCAAAACGTTAGTATCAGGTAGAGATAGCCACAACTCTCCACCCTTTAATAAAGAACAAACACCGCACTGATCTGGCTCAGGGCTTCGGCTGATCATCCTTAATCATTAGTAACGTTCTTTTATTGCCCTCTTCAGGGAAACGGAAAAGAATATCTTCAACTGAAGAGACTAGGAATGGCGGTGGTTATAAAAAATACATTCTGACCAGGTGAACTGGTAACTTGTTAGCTTTATGCTATGACCAGTCTCTTCCCTGGAGTTAGAATGCAAAGACCCTGTCTGGGGCAGAGACAAGCCACCCCGTGGAGTGTCCCTGATAAAATCTACTTGTTAGGGAAGTGGTATGGATACCACTGGGGAGGGGAGTTGGGGGGATTTAAGGAGGGGGGGGGTGTTCAGATCTCTCCAACCACATGATCAGAGTGGGAGTTTTCAGAGACCCGAAAGGAAGGCTTATTCCATAGAAACATCCGGAGTTCCAAAATTCACTCGGCACTTAGAAAACCAATTACAGAAAGTCGTCCAGATGACAAGACAGATGAAGTGGAAAGGTACAAACAAGCATCTGAGTCTCGAAACCTGAATTCCAGTAAAGCTTAGGCGGCAGGTCACAGGCAGAACTGTGCCGTGCGTGGAAGTGAGAGGCTTCCTCCCCACGACTTCCGAGCCAGAGGGGCCAGGCCTGGTCCTCCTGCATTTGCGGTCTGCCTGGTCCACGGGGCCAGGCCAGCAGCACTCGGAGGGTTAAGAGCACACGAAGTGAGGGGGAACGTCTCTCAGGAGTCATGCTTGCCTCGGCCTCTGCTGCCCCTGGATGCAGGAGTGCCATTTCTGCCAGGGAGGTCTACCTCCTGCCCGCCCAGGGCTCCAGAAGGAAACAGCTTTCCTTTCTTCCGAGGGTGAGGTGACGCATCAGTGGCACATCCTGCTCGTCATCTCTTTCTGGAAAGCAAGGGGAGAAGCATGGTTAGGAGAAACTCTAAGCAGAGCCACGCTTTGATGGAGGATTCTGAGACTAAATACTCATGGGGACTCTGGAGCCTTTACACAGAAGGTTGCAAGTGTGGCCCATGAAGAAGGCCCAGCATAAGGAGATGTTCTGTTTGGTCTGCAGGTTTCTTTTTTTTCATGAAGGCATTGTTTAAAAATTGGATTACCCTGCCAAACCTCTTACATACTTTTTCTGAAAAACCCCAAGATCTGGAGCCACTGAGCCGTCTGAGTTGAAGAATGGCTGTCCTCTTCAGTAGGAGAATATGCTCTCCAGTTTGCCCCAGTCCTCACCACTCCCAGTTGTCTCCCCAACAGGAACCAAGTATCACTTACCAACTGATACGATCCTTGGATTTGGGCTGCTGTTTTTCTTAGAGAACAACTTGTCTTTAGCTACGTTTCAATCAAAGATGGGAAAATGAAGGGTAACTTAAGTAACCAGAAGCCAAGAAAATCAGGAAGGAGGATATTTCTTAGTGGAAATGAAGAAAATACCAAAGTGTTTGACACGCACCCCCTTGCTTGGCTCTCATGAGCATTTACAGACCCCAAATGTGCCATCCGCTCTCTTCCTCTGGAGCTCTTGCCTAGGGTGTCCTTCCACACGCTCCCCCTCTCCTCTTCACTTGCTATTTGCCACTCATTTTCCCAACTCAGGCAAGATGACTTCCACCTGCCTGGGAGACCTGCCACCCACACATACTCTTCCCTGGACTTAGAATGCAACTCTGGGTGCTCTGGGTGCCTGTCCGGGACAGAGACAAGCCACCCCGTGGAGCGTCCCTGATCAAAGCTGCTTGTTAGGGAAGTGGTGTGGGTGCCACCAGTGGGGGTGAAAGGAGGGGTTCAGATCTCTCTGAGCGCCATAGCCCTGCCCAGTATGAAGGTAGCTACTCCCTCTGCCTGGGCTCACCCTGCTCCTTTGGCCCGGTTCTGGGTATGTCTGTTAGCCCCACCAGACCGAAAGCTACTAAGAGCCAGGAAAAAGAAACACTCGCTGAGTCCCCACCTATGTGTTCATCTTCGTATTCCCCAACGCTAGCACCATGTGGGCACAGGGCAGTCGCTCCTTCATCTCCTAGGACGGTCTGAGGAGCAGGCTGGTCATGAACCTCATCCTTTTGAGCATTTTGGGAGGACACGTTGAATGTCATTTGATTTAGATGAATGAGCTGCTTCCAAGTTCCCCCTGCTACAGACCTGACCGTGGCGGCCGCGTCCCTTGCATGCCGACCTGGACGCTGCAGCTTATAAAACAGGAAACATCTGAGTCACAGAAGCCTGAGCATGGGCGTGCCCAGGTGCTCAGGGAAGCTTTCTTTTCAAAAACCATATACATGTGTTGGTTAAAGAAATATAGGCACTTTTGTATCTCTATAATATTAGTAAATGCAGGCATTACATCCAAATATATATATAAACATTATTATTGTTTTTGAGTCAGGGTGTCACTCTGTCGCCCAGGCTGGAGTGCGGTGGCACAAGCACGGCGATCAAGGCTCATCACAGCCTTGAATAGACCTCCTGGGCTCACGCAATCCTTCTGCCTCAGCTTCCCGCGTAGCTGGGACTACAGGCATGTGCCAGGACACCTGGCTAATTTTTTGCAGAGCTGACATCTCGTTATATTGCCCAGGCCGGTCTTGAACTCTTGGGCTCAAGCAATCCTCCTGCCTCAGCCACCCAAATTGCTGGGATTGCAGGCATGAGCCACCGCGCCCCACCCATATATAGAAAAAGTAAATGACCATGTGCTTCTGTTTATCACTTTTTCTACGTACTAGATGCCTGGGAGAGGAGGCTGCTGGTCTCAAATAGCCATAATCTATTGGGGGAGAAAGAGGTGTGGATCACAAGCTAAGATACAATGACATAAATACAAATATTCACAGGAGGGGAGGCCCTGAGGCCGAGTGGAACTTAACTACTCTTCCACATTTTACTTCTGCTTCTGCTCCTCTCCACCCACCTATGTGATTACCCTGAGCCTGTGGGTCTTAGCTAATATGTTCTTTTTTTTTTTTGAGTCGGAGTCTCACTCTGTCGCCCAGACTGGAGTGCAGTGGCTGCTTCCCGGCCACCGCAGCCTCGACC